ACGTGCACATATGGAAGTAACATTCATCAGGTGTGGGGCAAGTGGGAGAGGTGAGGAGGAGAGGTGAATTTACATCTAACAGGTGTAGTGCATGCTCTCTCAGGGATGGGCACGCTTGTAGCTTTGACTTGGGTGATACAGAGGCAATTTATGTGACCAAAGCATTTATACTCCTGCAATATTCTGAAATAAAAAAGAAAAAAAAAAAAAGAAAAAGAATTCTTGTCATCAGTTTTTGGATATCTAAAGGTCCACACATGAGTAATTTGGATTGATTATTTTTTAACCTAGTGAACTATTTGACTTGATGGAACGAATAGCAAATAGGAAGAAACAGTCCACCAAACACATGTGAAGGTGGAAGGAAATTGAGAGCAACAAGAGACAGACAGTAAGGATGAAGTGAAATGGCTGAAGCTTTATTTTAGCCTCGTGTTTCTTTTTCCATTAAGTATTTAGTGGAAAAACTTTGGGAAAAAGTTGGACTTAATCCATTAGTTTAGCCAGAAGAAAAGAACAACAGTCTGTTGTAATATAAGACTGAAGAACCAGATTTTCCCCCACGAAATTTTTTTCCACTGATAAAATCCTTTTCCGTGAAAGTCTAGTTGGTCAACTATAAGCTTGCATTTCTTATGCTTTTCTCAATGCCTTCCTTACTCCGAAGACAAAGACTTTGTCCTTTCAAAAACAAACAACAACAATAAAAACAGAGTTTACAGACAAATACTAACACCTTAAGAAGTAACTGCTTTAGTCTTTAAAATCCCAGTTAAATTCTAATCATACCATTTCACTGCAAATTCTAACGGTAGAGACTCTGAAGTCATATTCATTCTAAGAGCAGAAAACTGCCCATTGCTGTTGACAGGCCCAAGGACTGGCTGGCAAGTCATTCTGATTAAAGACAGAGTGAAGGTCACAAAGAGTAAAATGTATATAGTTAATCACGTAGAAATGAATGCTAAGCTCTAGAGTCTACCTGGGGCCCTCCAGATGCCCAAGTGTGGCCCCTTGACTGAATCTAAACTTCACAGAACAAATACCTTTATTGAAAGGGTTTGTTCTATTAAATTGGGATTCAGTCAAAAGGCCACACTCAAGGATCCAGAAGGCCACGTGTGGCTCCAAGACTGCAGGTTCCCCACCCCTGCTTTAGACTATCAAGTATACATCTTCCCGGGGGAAGGAAATTAAGTGCATCTTAAACCTATACGGGGTCCAATAATGAGATGCTGGATTTCAAGTGCACACCACAGAACTTGGAAATCAAGACTTGAAATACTAGTACCTTTTATTTTTTTTAAAAAAATCACATCATGGAAAGCTATGATAAAATTACCTCCATTCAAAATTAGTTGTTTCAAAATTTAACAGGTGAAGAAATGTCTAGCAAGAATGAAATCCAAGATTGAGAGACCAAGTCTTCATGAAGCCATGTGTTACAATGTCTAACCCTTTGACAGATTGTGACAACACAGAGAACTAAGCCCTAGGATGATCTCTTACAGAGATACCAACTCAAAGTTCTAGAGCTTTCTTTTCCTTTCTTTGCTTTGCTTTGCTTTTCTCTTTTCTTCTCCATCCAGATGCTACATGTATACAAAGCAAGGGATAAAGAATCCTACTAAAGTAGAAGTGCCACTTTTTTCATACTAGAGTAGAAATTCCACTTTTTAATTATATCTTAATTGACATTTCGATAATAATTGAAATCACAGTAAATTAAAATTGGAAACTTAATTCAAATAAAAATCAAGCAAAATAGTTGTTTAAATTTATCTAAATATCTGGTTCACAAATTCATGACATTTTTCACCTTTAACCAGTTATTTTAGATTTCTAGAGACTCTGCTCTGTGTTGTAATTTCCCCATCAGTAAAAAGGGAACCAATGTGTGCCTCTCAACTCCAACCCGAAGCTCAGTGTGAAGATCAATGAGTGAATCTTTGCCGTGCTGTCCAGGGCCACTGGCTGCAAGGGATCATGTCAGTACCGTCTATTTAATTACGGAAACAAGACACGGCTTGCAGATTACACTGAGTTGCTGCTGTTGACTTTGTGGTTTCCCAAATGAAACACAACCTTTTTGAATGGTCTCACTGAGAAGGCCTATAGCATCAGAAATGTTTCAAAATCCAAAAGCCTTTTTTGGGTCAAAAGTACTTCATGAGTTTGGCTACTTCTTAGCTGGATGTTGAGCATGACTCTGTTTCAATCAAATGACTGACCACATATAATCAAATACGTTTGCCACCTGAATTCTTTGCTAACATATTAACATGAGAGTATTTTGTACTATGTAATAACAGTTAAATGTGCCTGGAAAATGGTAAGTTTCAAACCAGACACAACTTTAGAGCAACTTATTGATTAAGTTTTAATATGATTTATTGACTTGTACATATGTTAGTTTTTAAGACACTCTGCATATTTGTTTTGTGTGTAGTGCAAAAGACCAGATAATCAAGTCTTCCAAATTTGGCTAAGATTGATATGCTAAATAAACATACAAAAAATTCAGAATCTTATGCTACATCGTTGTACCATATACAATATAAGGGAGCAAGATTTCTAATCTGCATCACCTTCAACTTAGCATTGATGTAAATACTGTGAGAATTTAATAGTGCAACAGAAAAGCTGTAAACATGCCTGTGGCATCATTTTCCTGTTGATTATACCACAATATATAATTTTAATAAAAGAAGTATAATTATTAAAAGTGTTAATATCTAACTACACAAATATGTAATGCAGTTTTAAAAATGGAGATCTAAAACAACCTGCTACAAAGTTATCAACAGAAAAAGAAAAAAATTCTCCCGAACAATGAAAGACAAAATCTTCCTTCTTGTGCGTGGATGGAGATTGTCCGTTAAGCCTGTACAAAATTACCCCATTATTCTTACACCTGCCATAAATTATTAATAGCTCAGCTCCAGGACAGAGGTTTTAGCCACAGTTTTTGTTAAATGGAAGGACATTTGCAAATGCAGTCACATCAAGGTATGGACGGATTTGCTGTAATCCATATCATCATTTCACTGATAATCTGAATCTAATTTATTTTCTCCATTTTCTCTTAGTCCCAATGTTCATATTTTTGTAGAACCAATATACATGAGCCCATTCGGGGAGGATTTGCTCTCGTAATCACAAATGTCTTTCACTGATGACTACCACAGTTATGTGTGCAAGTGGGTATATGTGTATTGTGTGTATGTGGGATCATGTGTATGTCTGTGCACGTTTGCAGGGCCTCCACATTCATGGTCATGTTCAGCTTGAGTGAATGCACAAATCTGTCTCGGTCTGAATGAAATAAGAAGCCACCTTTGCACATTTTACCAATCCTAACCATTTATTTTCTGCCCCCCAAAATTGCAGGGCACCAGACCTCTTAACTTTTGTCAGAGGCGAAGTGTTACTCTTCATATGAGCTTTATTTAAATAGTGAGAGTATCCTTTAAAGGTTATGAGATTATCACATTTTGTTCATGCATCTCAGAGTCATCTTGTTTCTTGTCCCTCATGCCCCGTTGACCTTACACACTTCAGCATCTGAGGAACTTTCCTGTATTGTCACGCAGCTTAATTTTTTTTTTTTAATGCTAACTATAATTGACAGCCATTACTCTCAAGAGCTTTATTTTGGTCTTGGTATGTCAGTCTTGGATAATTCTACGCAGTTCGTTTGTGGCAAGGTACTTGAATAGACAAGAGATGAAATGGCTGTATGGAATATTGGTCCATAATGAACCGAAGAGAGGACAGACGTGGATGCCATGCGGATGTGGCACCCACAGGAGTCAGTTTTCCACGTGGCCTCAGAATGTTACTTTGAAAATATTGTCCAGAGCAGAGCTTTTCAAGCTTTCCTTTGTACACAAATCACTTGGGGGTCTTGTTAAGATACAGATTCCGGTTCTGTAAGTCCACCTGGGGCCGGAGACTCTACGCTGCTGATGTACTCCTAGACAGCAGTGATGCTCCAGTCTATGGGCCACAGTTTGAACAGAGAGGGGCAAGTGCATTCCAACAGAAAAGATTAGTGGGAACAATAGCCCCATTTGCATATGTTTCCACAACTGTTAATTACTAATTTGGTCAATTTCATTTCATACAATTCAGCCCACTGAAGAAATGTAAAAATGGAATTACTATGTTTTATAAGTAAAACCCTGCCCCTTTTCAGGTATAATCAGAGAGCCATCATTATATATAAAATTTTCCCTGCTTGAACAAAGAGAATATTTTAAAGCAATGACATTAGTGAATACTGAACCACATTTCAACTCCCCATCATAATGCCACTGATACTTGGTTAAATAAATATCTTATATTATTGCTAATATACTTGTATAGAAATGCATTTACTTTCAATATCAGCATTGCTAAATATCCGTTTATCCAACAAGACATTATTCCAAATTTACCCTATGCCAAGTTCTTTGAAATGTAGCCCCATTTTAGAAAATCTGAATTTTGAGAGTTCAGTTCAGATGAAGCACTTGAACCCTCTCAAACACAGAAATGCCTGTTTAGCCACCAGATCAAAGGGAGAGATGGATTTTGTACGTTCCCGCAGTTTTTTAGAGTGTGTCTACACATTGTCGTTTTCACAGCAACCTTCGTGTTTGAAGGGCGTTCTGATGTGGAAACAGCTCGTGGAGGTAAACCGAGGTGACACCCCTGTGATCAGACGTTGCTCTGTTGTAACAAAAGTGTCCTCAGTTCTCTTTCCCTCTGATCCTCCTGCCTGTACTTCTCCTCCAGTTTCTGCTTCTCGGAATCCGCGCAATAAAAGGTGCAATCTGGGCTCTTCCGGATTTGCTCAAACTGACTGAAATCGGCCACGTACTTCCCGTTTTTGGAGAGAGAAACCACAGGCACGAACTCGAAGCCCCAGTAGATTTCCTCCGGGATGTAGGACGTCCGGCTCTGGCAAACAGCGCTGGTGGATTCCACGGTGGCGTTGAGCAGAACCACGAGTTCGAACTCCTTCTCCTTCAGGTTCTGGGGCGTGAGGTCGCGCAGGGGGCTGGTCTCATCCAGCACGTGGTAGAACGTCATGGGCAGAATGAGGAAGGGGCTCTCGGAGGAGGAGTCCACGTGGAATTTGACGGTGGCCTGGTTGAGGAGGATGCGCTCGCCCTCCTTGGTGACGTGGGTCTGCAGGAGCTTGCCGGACAGCTGGCACTGGATCAGGAGGCTCTTCCGCATGTTGGCCACCTGGATCACCAGGCACAGCTTCCCGTTCTGCTTGGTGATCACCGCGCAGTGGCTGAACTTGATGGTCTCGGCCCGCTTCTTGGGCCTTGCGATTTTGGCCAGGAAGGTGCCGGTGATGAAGATCTCGATCAGGGTGGTGACGACCAGCTGAGCCACCAGCAGGAAGATGGCGTGGGGGCACTCCTCCGTGATGGAGCGCACTCCGTAGCCGATGGTGGTCTGGGACTCCAGCGAGAAGAGGAACGCCCCCGTGAGCGAGTCCACTTTCATGATGCAGGGGGTGTGATTCGCAACAGGCTCGCCGGGCTCCAGATCCCCGTGAATGAACGCGATGGCGTAGTAGACGACCCCGAAAAGGAACCAGGTCATCACGAAAGTGGCGGCAAACAGGGTGAGCTTGTATCTCCACTTCATGTCGATGACGGTCGTCCACAGGTCTTGCAGGTAGAGCAGGTAAATGCCGTCCACTTTGTCGATCCTCACGTTGCTGTGCCCGCTCTTGGACATGACGCGGGGCCTGCTGGCCTTCAGCCCAGCCCCCGCAGCCGCGTGCTTCACCAGGGGCGCGCCCGACATGCCGGCGCGGATGGCGTCCATCGCCAGCCTCCGGGTCACCTAAGCGATGACAAAGGAAGACATTTCAGGACGGTCATATGTGACGAAACTTCCAGAAAATAGAATAATCGTGGGAAGAAGCGTGAATCTTCATGGAGGCGTGCAAGAAAGGGGAATTCTGAAGGCAAGATCCGTCGGTTTGCACTTCTGGGGGTCACTGGTAGGGTAGGTAGGAGCGCCGCCTTTGGCGCAAGGCAGGCCCGGGTCAGAGAGCGACTCTGCAGTTTACCCGCTCTGTGACCTGGAGCACGCTCTTTAACCTCTCTGGCCTGATCTTTGAAATGGTAATAAAGCCTACTCCTCAAGGTTTTTGTAATAACTAAAGAAAATAAAGTGCCAAAACAGAGACTCACATTCCAAAAAATGACGCTATGCTTCTTCTGTGATAACACACTCGTGTGCAACTATCCCACAGAGTAATATGAGTATTTATTTATATTCAGCTATCACGGATTCCCAGTTAGGGAAAATAAAAACATTATTTGGCTGAGCATAGGTCAGTACTGATACAACTACAATCTGCCATCCATAAGATAGTTCTTGATATAAAATGGAGAATATAGTTATGCATTTTAAAAATTCAGGTAGTATTAATACATTTTTTAATCCAATCTTTTGCATGACATTCTTTGTAATATCAATTCATTTTCCCCCTAATCCCATGAATAATTTAGAATCTATGACCTCTCCTAGTTTTTGAAGACATTGGAAAACAACTCAGTTATCAAACAACCAAAAACATACTTAATAGCAAGTAATTAAGCTTTATTAATGGCTCCATCAATATGCTGGTTATTCCTGGAAAAGTGCTCCCAATGTCATTTTAGGTATGACATTTAGGTAGGCACAAAAGTTCTGCTTTATTCTTTAGAACTAAGTAGAACCAGCATGAGGAATTTATTTTAAAGAACAAATGAAAAAGTAAGTGTAGACATCTAACATTGTAGCAGAAAAGACCTACCTAGAACAAGTGCTGAGCGCCACACTCAGCCCCAGGGCACGCTCTGCCCTGTGTTCACAGCCAGGAACAAGCTGACCACGCTGCTGCCCAGCATCTTATAGTACCTGCCCCATGACTGAAATAAATTTCCCCTATTTCTTGAAAAAGATGAAGCGAGTGATTACAGGGTAACTCTACCTGACTGGCATTTTTTTTTTTTTCACCTCACTGGTATTTTAAGAATAAAAAAAAAAATACTCCCTTTAAAAAAAGGAACTGATATACAGTGGTTTATGATTCATGCAATATTCTTTTCTGTTAGAGCAGCATTATCTCGATAGAAGTTTTGAAAGTAATCCTATGGGCAAATTCCTTCAAGGAAATGGAAACTGTATCCGTCAGAGGCCAACACCTGTTCAGGATGCAGTGGGTCTGTTGTACATTTTAATTTTCCTGTTACATTATTAGGAATGTGTCTTCTTAGACAAGGTAGCATGAGGAGAAAAAAAAAGAATCTCATTTACAAAATGCCCCCTTGGTATGATTTATTTTTTCTTAGAAAGGAAAGTCACTTTTCTATTTTAGTTTCAAAGAAGAGCCATAAGGTATTTGGAATTTCTTTACCTTGAAGCCAATCCCACTTTTCTTGGGAACAGTTTAGAAGAAAAGTACAGGCTGCAATTGATGAATGTGGGCTTTAGCATACCCTCAGCAACACTTCTCAGTGTGACGAAGAGGAAAGCAACCGCGACAAAGGTTTGGGAACGAAACGCCATGCTGGCGTGCCCAAGTGCATAGACAAGCTCGTAACATGAGCACTGCCAGAGACAAATGTAGCTTATGTACAAGTAACTGCATGCACTTTTTTTTTTTTTTTTTTAAAGAAACTGCTGGGGAAAGTGCATGCCATTCAATCCACTGAAATAAAAACAGAGGCTTCAATTTCCCAGTGCGAGTGATGCACTGGTGTCCTGCGGGCACAAGGAAAGCTCCCAGCTCAGCCCTGCACCACATTCTGGGAAGCTTGGCCCTGTTTTTATGGAGGCAGAGCCATGAAGCTTCTGTTTTAACCTCTCTTTCAAAGCGGCAGCAAGGCAGGCTGGGCATGAGCTGGATCTTTTCCCTGTTTCTGCTGAGAGCTCTCTTGCTGCAGTCCTGCATATCTAGTGTTGGAGACAATGACATGGACAGCACTTCCTGTCAGGGTTTGGTGGACATAAATCACAGAGCAACACCTAGAGCTGCTGGGTGTGCTGGGTGCAGCATCTCTCTGTGGGAAAGAGAGCAGCTGGCGGTCAGCAGCCAAAGGGTGCCATGGTCCGCTCTGTCCTCCTCCCTCCCTACAGTGCCCGATGCCCTCAGAACAGTCTACTACCTGGTCACGCACTCAGCAGGTCAGAAGGTGTCTTCTTCAAGGCAGGTAGACACGTTTTCGCTCCCCTTCACCCGCCTGGCTACCATGGGGTTCTGCTACTGCCTGAAAGAAAGAGGGACACGTGGTGTTCACAGGTGGTTACTAAGAGCACCCCAGTAAATACGGCCACTAACCCCTTTCTAGAGGCTATGTCCGTGGCATTTACCTCCCAATCCCTGGTAATCTGGCACCGTGCGCAGACTAGGGTGAAGGTTTAAGGAATGCTTTGAGAATGAAACCGAACCCCAGCCACAGCCCCCACTGTAGCATTCCCAGCCCCTGGACGGAGCTCAGTAGTTAAACACCCTGGAGAGAGGGGGTTAACCCACTTCCATGGAGGCCCGCTATGAAATGACCAGCGCGCAGGGAGGCCGGAAGGGGAAGTGCAGAGGAAGTAAACAGTGAGCGTCGGAAGGGAAGAGTCTAGAATATTTTTACCGCCTGTGGAAATGCATTACTGCTGTTGAGTCATAGAACATCAGAGTGGAAAAGATTGTCAAAACCACCCCACTGGACACACACTTTACAAAGGAGAGCATCGAAACCTGGGGGCGTCGAGGGATATGTCTCAGTCACACAGCTCGGTCCTGGCAGGAAGGAGGAGGTCCTAAGTGTTTGGAAGCCGGACCAGTGTTCAAAATCCCCCCTAGACCTTCACAGTTTCATGTCATCTGTTCTAAATACAAGAGCTTTTTTTGCATCCCTTTCGTCTGAAATACTTCTTCCTAAGCTGTCAATCTATCCTCTATTTATCAATCATCTATTATCTAAACATCTATTATTTAGATATCTATCTATCATCCACTTACCTACCTATCTATCCCCAAACATTTTTATCTGTCTTTCACACACACAGGCCTACATGTTTCATACTCCTTTTCTGATCCACCCATTATTTATAAAGATTGCTCTTTTTTCTTGGAGACAGAGCTTCGCTTTGTTGCCCGGGCTAGAGTGCTGTGGCGTCAGCCTAGCTCGCAGCAACCTCAAACTCCTGGGCTCAAATGATCCTCCTGCCTCAGCCTCCCAAGTAGCTAGGACTACAGGCACGTGCCACCGCGACCAGCTAATTTTTTTTGTTTGTTTCTATTTTCAGTTGACTGGCTGATTTTTTTTCTGTTTTTAGTAGAGACAGAGTCTTGCTCTTGCTCAGGCTGGTCTCGAACTCCTGACCTCAAGCAATCCTCCTGACTTGGCCTCCCAGAGTGCTAGGACTACAGGCGTGAGCCACTGCGCCCGGCTCAAAGACTGCTCTTTTATAGTTAAAGTATTCTCACTTACCAACCAGTACAGCCTCTCATAGGCTGTGTCGTCCAGTGTGGTCACAGCATGTTTGGTGAATGACCTCTTTGTCATTGCTCTAACAAGACCTAGTAGCTTTGCACCCGTCAATCTTACCTACAGGCTTTATTATTTACACTTAGTCATATGCTCTTAATTTATAGTATTTTATTCCTCAGCAGGCTTCTTTCATGACATTTACTTCGTTATCAGCACATACTCTCATTTCACGTAATCATACACTGCCTTAGGCTTTTCCCCCTGAGTGATTCTGCAATCCATCTGGCTTAACTTCTAAGATGTTAAGGGGCAATAACACTTTCCCAAAAGTTGAGGTGGGGAAGAATGATGAATGAATATTTTCTCCTGATTTCCACTCTCTTAATTCCCCAGAAAAGCACTATTCCATACAAACTATTAGCAGTTTTCTTTAGTCTCTGGAAATAGTGTTTATTTCTGCAGTTTTTGTTATATCGTTCCAGCTTGTGGGTTGGGATTGTAATTCTTAGAATGGTGATATCTTTATTAAAGGGAAGTTCTTGAAACTATTGAATGGAGAGCTCATTCTTACCCTCTCCTACTTCCAACCAATAAAAGATGCATGGTGTGAAGTCACTGCGGGCTTACACTTTGTGGCATTTGTTTTCTGGAGATAAAAGAAAGAAAACAAACACGTTCTGAAACAAAACTAACCAGTAGGCATGCTGCAAAAGGGATTTAGCTGTACGAACTACGCTTCCTGTGGTGGGGACAAAATGATGAAAATGAGAAAAATGGAAAGAGAGTTCCCACTACCATCTATAGGGAAGAAAAAAAATTCTATCAAAGAAAGAGGCTCTGAGGATGGATGATCAAAGAAACCAGCCACAACCAGCTGCAACACACTGTTCCATCAGAGAGAAATCAGCCTGGAAAGGCCCAGAAAGCGATTGGATCAATAAGGAGAAATGTGTAAGCAAATTGTAAGTAAGAATAGAGCCAGGAGGGTCCACGGTGGGAAAGGACATGCAGACAAGTAGTACAATATCAGTAATAAAGTAATATGACAAAGGTTTAGCTAAGTAAGATAGTAATAAAGGTTCACATCAATAATGACAGTAATCATGATATGAAGATGGCACTTACACTGCCGCGTGCCAGCCACTGTTCTAAGTGCTTCCCACAGGTGAACTTCATTAACCTTCCCACCCACCCGGGGAGGTAAACACCACCACTACCCCCATGACGAGGAAACTGAGGCACAGAGAAGGTAAGTGCCTCCTCACCCAAGCTCCCAACAGCCAGCCTGTGGCGTGGCGCACTCACACAGCCAGGCTTCCACGCCCACACTGCAACCAGCCCGACAGAGGCGCTTGCGCTTAGCGGCACCAGAATCATCTAGAAGGCTTGGAGTTTCTAATTCAGTAGGCTTTGAGGTGGACCCCGGGAGTTTGAATGTCTAACGAGTTCCCAGGTGACGCGGCTGCTGCAGGAACACACGCTGGGCACGACCACACTATCGTATACAGCTTCCCCCTTGATGCAGAGCCTGTACCCTCACTTTGCCTCAGCATCCTCTGGTAACACCGCCCACGCAGGCACTCAGCACACCCGCTTGCTCATTTTCAGGAATGCACGACTTCTCCCAGAGATGATGCCAGCTACCCAGGGCCCAAGGCCATGAATTTTGTAAAGCAGGACTGTATGGAGAATCTGATCAAAACGATAACATATTATTTACATTTCTTACAGGTGTAATCTAAATACAATATGTTGTGGATTATCTGAGGGGGAAAAGCCTCATGCATTGTAAAATTGATATTAAATAAATAAATGTGATACATTATATTTCTATTAAACATGTACTATAATATAAATAATTCTAGTAAAAATATTTACTAAAATTAAGTAGAGAGAAATTTCTAATTCCCACAATAGATTTCCAACCATCACTTTTGTTAGCCAAATCATGTTTACACAATACCACTTTCCTCGAAGTCCCAAAGCTGGGATCTCCCAGCTAACTGTCAGGTGGATGCTTTGTCCTGGAAAATAAATTCATCTTAAGAAAGATTTTTTTTTTTACTCCTAGTAAGTACAACACTGAGATTGTCTAAAACCTTAATGCTCTGTTGGGCCAAATTTTGGAGGTTTTCAATTTGCCCATCCTGAGAAAACTTCCCGTGTATTCCATGGTGGACTAACAAAGTAGAGAGACCCACAGAAAAATAATTATAACTCACTGATAGAAAAGATGGGGAAGTGGAAACTCCGCCAAACTACAGTTCCTCGACCAGGGCTCCTCTGATCTCATCTCACATCTCTGAGCAGGGTGTGAGGCACAGAAGAATGAATTCTGAATCGAATTGCGACTTT